TCTCTCTCTCTCTCTCTCTCTCTCTCTCTCTCTCTCTCTCTCTCTCTCTCTCTCTCTCTCTCTCTCTCTCTCTCTCTCTCTCTCTCTCTTCTTCTGCGTCGTTGCTTATTTGCAGGTGCGTGCGGCGGCTTCTTCACCCTGCGGATCCGCTATGGTGGACTTCCTCTCCGATGGCGCCTTCGGCTATGGCGCGCGACTCTCCCTGCAGCACACGACGATGGCGCGTGGAATAGCGGGTACCAGCTCCGATACCAACACAATCAGACTCACTTTCTTTCGCACTCCACATGCATGTAAACATGTAGCGCAGCAAACTGGCGACAAGCGCCCACTCAAAACTCAGAGATATGGAAACCAAGAACACAGTTCAGATACAAGTTCGCTTCAGATGGCTACGGTGCATCAGCGCCTGTACAACTCCCTGTTCGTCACTGCGCCCCACTCTACTGTTCACACACCCTCAACTTAGGATCACCCTGGATATCCCACACGCTTCACCTGTACACACACGCACTCGAACACTCTACACTCTTCTATCAGCTATGGCGGCTATGGCCGCTACTACCCCTATCGCTATGGCTAAGTTCTCCTTCTCGCCCACTTCGTCTTCGGGCATACTGCAGACCACCTCACACAAGTCGCTGTGGCAGCGCTTCTGCATGGCTTACGCAGGGATGAATGAATGGCTGGGCGCTGCCTCTTGATTTATACTTCTGTGGCTCGTTGGTCTGCCCCTTTCCCATGCACCTGGTGCACACAGTCCCACACGGAACTTGTTTGACTGGACTGAGACTGACTGGGACTGGGTACCGCTGACTCAGCACCGGTGGACTTTGCCACTTGCCCACATGCCTCGGTCTACTGTGGGCAGTACCCGAAAGGCCACTTCTGGACCTTCCGGAAGACCGTGGGCTTGCCCTTTCGGTACTGTAGCAGCTACGACCTTGACCCTTCGGAGGAGCTACAGCTACGACTTCTAGAACTCACTAAGACTCCTATCCGACAGGTCTACAGATCGAAACCCTATAACCTACAGACCTACGGCGGCCTACCAACTGTGGGGAAAGACACAGGTCGTGGGTTCAACTCCTGGGGTCGACACAGATACTGTACACAGGTAGGGTAAGGACTAGGGATCGAGCCCTGGCATCTGCGTCGGCTACTGCAAAGGTGGAATCCATTTCACTTACAAACTTCTTCCTATTATAGCTTGCTAATCCACGGAAAGATCTTAATTTTGTTAGGGTCTTTTTTTTCTTTTCTTTTCTTTTTTAAAAAAAAACAGGGCCTTACGGTCCTGGCTCCTTCTATTATGGGGAGCGTCAGTCCGGTTCCTATTCCACCGGCAAGTCAGAATGCAGATTACATTGAAACTTAACTACGCTTCCTTCCATTTGGCCGAAGGACCCCTGAACAGCATTGATCGCTCCAACTTAGTGGAGGATTGACTGTCAGCTTGCCGTGTCCCTCTCTTTCCTCTCAGATCTGGAGGCCAGATCTGCCAGATAGTGCTATGCCACCTAGAAAGAGTTCATCCTTTGTCCCTGTCGGCCTGTGTCCTCCTCACTCATCTGCCCTGCCCGTGAGGCATGATAAACCTTTCCCCATTTTGTCTGTTCCCCCCTTTTTTTAAAACACCCCTAAAGCCCTAAACCCTAAGCCCTCAACCTGTGAACCCGCACTGCAGCAACCCTTTGAGTCCGCCTTTTCCTCTTGTCCTGGTCTTTTAATGCCATCCATCCATGTCTGTGCTATCAATCCATAGCTGTAGCAGTTTAAACTTGTCAGACTCCCGTGGAAGTCTGATCTGGTTGTGTTTTGCTCGTCCACAGTTATCTGTTATCAATAGCCTCTTCCTGAGTTTGAGTTGTGCCAGTCTTTCCAGCAAATGCTGTCATCTCGTGTTCAAGAAGTGATTGATGCGACCGCCTTTAACCTCTGTTGGTAACTCCTTTCTGGCGCTGAGTTATGCCTCTCTTTCCAGGAGATGCAGTCTTCTCATCTCTCTCTGCAGTCTTGCCTTTTAGACAACCAATTTCATGGCCAATCTCTAAATGCATTCTTTTCTCATGCTGCACTACACGTCCAAGATATAAGGCTTCAGACTTTGCAAACTGAGATTCAGATTCATTACAATTTGGTATCGGAGCATTACCTCGTACCTCATCTGGCAATGTTGGAATACTTTGCCGTGTAGAAGGAGAGCAGCATTGATGATTGACTGGCGATAGAAGTAGGAGCTGGGAGGAGGGCTGGCTGGTGTAAGGAGAAGATACTCACCAGTGATGCTGGAGGTTGGGCTGGCAGTACAGACAAAAAATGCCTTGTAGTGCCCACATAACCTGATGCGTACACCAGCAAGATGCATTGGGAGGCACCTGGACCGGTTGTCTTGGATCGACGGCCTGTGTGACGGGTTTGTTGGGACATGACTTGTAGAACATTCTGCATTGTTTGGCACTGATTGGTGATCTTCATCAAGTCGAGAGGACAAGATAAGTATGAGGTAACATACTAACATGTGATTGCCTACCTGTATGCCTTGCATACTCTGGTAAAGTAATGCCGACCTTTGAGTGTGTATGTGGTCGCGCTGGTTGTGGTTATTAGCTCAGGCACTCTTTTCCGCATTTTCTCTTATAGCTGGTCGTCTTTTTCGTCAAACACTATCAAGTGGCTGTTAGTGTCAGCGTTGATAGAGATAGTCTGTTATTGTTTGCTTTGCTCCTTTCCTTTTTTTTTTTTTTTTTTTGGCTTTGCTTCTTTAGTAGGCATGATCACCGATCTTCGGAGGTAAGGTTAAGCCTACAACAGTGAGATTAGCTTGTTTAGGCCTAGACTAAGGCTCCTTTTTTTTTTTTTGCTTTGCTCTCTCTCTCTCTCTCTCTCTCTCTCTCTCTCTCTCTCTCTCTCTCTCTCTCTCTCTCTCTCTC